GATACTCAACCACTGAGCCACACCAGCCAGACATCTTTTTACAATTTTTAAAATACCACTGCCAAATTAAAAATTAAGCTCCTGCTGATGATTTCTAGTACAGTCAATGGATCACTTCATATCTCTTACTTTGATGTAATTTGACCTATTTATATGGTATACAGAGTGTCAGTTAACAGCCAATCTCTTTTTGACATCAAAGCCTACCTGGGAAGGAGAAAATTTCTGCTGCTGCTTCAGAGATTTTAAAGATGCCATGATTTTCTTTTCTTTTTTTTATCCTCACCCAAGGATTTTTCCATTTTTTGTTCAGGTAGAGTGAGAGGAAGAGAGAGAGAGAGAGAGAAACATCGACGTGAAAGGGACACATCGAGTGGCTGCCACCCGCATGACCAACCAGGGCCGGGGACAAACTGCAACCGAGTTATGCGCCCTTACCGGGAACCGAACCCGAGTCTCTCCGGACCGCAGGCCGATGCGCTAACCGCTGGGCAAAAATGAACAGGGTGATGCCATGATCTTCTATTCTTCCTCCTGCTGAGCCCTGAAATTACTTCCTTGAATCCCTCTCTAAAAGTGCCCTCTAGCTTCAAGTTATTGACAAAGGGTGCCTCTCTGTACGTTTCAGTTATGTCAACTCCCAATCAAATGCAGCAATTTTACAATGCTACTTCTTTTCTTTGGTTTTTCTGCAGTCTTACTTTTGTTGTTGGTGCATGTGTGTGTTTTGTTTCTTTTTTTAAAAAACTGATTTTAGAGAGGGAGAGTGGGAGAGAGAGGGAGGTGAGAGAGATACATCGATCAGTTGCCTCCCGTACACACTCTGATTGAGGATCAAACCCAAAACCTAGGTATGTGCCTGCCCCCACCAACAAAAAGATTAGGACTCACTTTATTGTAATGGTCGGGTACCAAAACTCCAATATCTCTGAGGTATGCCTGTACATGTTATTACTACATAAGCCAGTTCATTATTCATTTTAATTTATAACTACTGTATTATCTTGTGGACATGCTCACCAATGTCCTATTTTTCCCTACTACACTACCTATTTGTTTTGCACCACCCAGCTTTCCTGCATTTATTCTTCTAATCCAGTGGTTCTCAACCTTCCTAATGCCAAGAACCCCCCCCCCCTTTTTTTTTATTCTTACCCAAGGACATTTTTCCATTTTTTGTTCAGATGAGTGGGAGAGAGAAAGAGCGAGAGAGAAACATCGACAAGAAAGGGACACATCAAGTGGCTGCTTCCCGCACGGCCCTGACCCAACCAGGGCCAGGGCCAAACTGTAACTGAGGTAACGTGCCCTTAGCGGGAATCAAACCCGAGTCTCTCTGGACCGCAGGTTGATGCTCTAACTGCTGAGCCAAACTGGCCAGGGCGCGGCCCTTTAATACAGTTCCTCATGTTGTGGTGACCCCCAACCATAAAATTATTTTCGTTGCTACTTCATAACTGTAATTTTGCTAGTGTTATGAATCGCCATCGGAAATGTGTTTTCTGATAGTCTTAGGTGACCCCTGTGAAAAAGTAGTTCAACCCCCAAAAGGGTCGTGACCCACAGGTTAATTGTTTATTGTTACTGTGGTTTATTGTTACTGTGCCTCAGAATCACTGGTCTCTGCAAGGGACCATCTGATGAGCCCTGAAGGAAACCAAACTAGGGGATATATTCACAACCACGCACACAGTTTAAGACATATGGCTTAGACTTTAAGATAAAGTAATGTATACGAAGAGAAGTGGGGATTGTGTTTGTGAGAGAAGTATGGAGTAGAGGCTAAGACTAGAGAATCTGAATCCTGGTTGTGCTCCTTAAGTTCTGTGGACCTAGTAAATTCTTAAGTAAAGCTTCCTGGCTCTCAGTTTCTTCATCTGAGAAGCAGAGGTGACAATAATACTTGCGTCATAAGATTATTATCAAATTTGAGATAGCATATGTGAAGTACTTAGAACAGTGTCTGGCACATTGTAAACACTCAGTAAATATTAACTATTAAAATTATTATAAACAGATAAATGGTTGACAGCAAGTGGGAAGGTAGAGTAAGACTCTGAAAGAGAAACAATACTTGAATGTTAATCTCATTAATTCTGTATTTTCTCATAAACTTCTCTCCACTTAAGTCCTAATTCTAAACTGAAACACCATTATCTTCCTATAAAATTTCCCTATATTGGTGAGATTTTTTTTTTCTCCTCACCTGAGGACATTTTTTTCCATTTTTTGTTCAGCTAGAGTGGGAGGGAGAGAGAGGAAGAGAGAGAGAGAGAGAGAGAAACATTGACATGAAATGGACACATCGAGTGGCTGCCACCCGCACAACCAACCAGGGCCGTTGACAAACTGCAACCAAGGTACGTGCCCTTAGCGGGAACCGAACCCGGGTCTCTCTGGACCACAGGCCGACGCTCTAACTGCTGAACCAAACCTGCCAGGACTGGAGAGATTTTTTTTTTTTTTTTTAAAAACAGCATTGGCTCAAAACTTTTGAGGGCATCAACAGTGAAACCACTAATTATTATTGCCTTACGGTAGCCTATTTTTGTACTTCATTATACACAAAATAGCCATGTTTCCAATTTGTATAACCTAAACATTTGTTATTCACGTTCCTGCTGGTATAACTGGGAGTAAGGATGGGGAATAAAGAGGAAGACACCATTTAAAGCTTTGCCTCACAGCATTTTAAAGACTAGTGACAAAGGTCTTTCATAATAATAGTTTGCATAGAGAGCCAACATTCATATGGTAAGAGTTCCATGCACTATTTGCTTTTAACATTCTTTACTCCACTTCACGACATCCAGAGACCTCATGTTCTCTCTTAATTGCAAAGAACAAGAGCCTCTACTGCTCTTGAGCTATAAAACCCATGTTCAGGTTTGAGATTACAAATTGACTGTATGTTGACCACCCATACCCCAGGATGTTTTCAGTTTGGTCTTCAGGGTTTCAAATATTGGTGGTCAACATTTAAAAATCGAGAGATTTCACACAAAAATCCAGCTTTAGGGTCTCTCTTGGGAGAAAAAAAGAAAAACACATAGAGTATCTCAGAACACTAGACCCACATTCCTGAGGGTAACATTCTGCTAGAGCTGAACAGCTGCTCCCTTCAGTTACAGCGTGGACAGACACTCCAATTTGCCACATTCTTTATTATTCCCCATTGTCTTCCACCAGACCAGTTTCACTCATTTGTTTTACTTTCTCGTCCTTGTAGACCTTTGTCTGCAAACCCTAGCTAGACCCTTCCTGCCTCCCACCAAAGCTGACTTTATTCTGTCCCTCATCAGTTTTTCCAACCAATAGCTAGGTGATCTGACCAGCTATACGCATTTTCACACGTGCTTTCTAGAGATAGTATCCCGACAGAGATGACTGTGCAGGTGGAACTACAGGCACCATAGGATTACAAGCAGGACAACAGTTCATTCTACTTTTTCTGCTATCCTGATGTAACCATACCTCACTGTTCCGAGGCAAACCAAAGGAGTTTGTTTTCTGTAGAACGATGAGCACCAACCTGTATGTGAAATCTACTTAAAGAATACTTTTATAGATCACCCTAGTTCCAAAGGACCAAAAGCTACTAAGGGATATTATGACTCCCTATTTCCTCGGAGGCTTCAGGATATCTGACCTGGTTTATCCCCCCACCTAATTTTGGGGCCCGTTTTGTGCTGGGAAGTCGAGCCCGAGGAGCGCGCGCATCCAGCATGAGCTCATTTCTCATGGGCGTTCCCAGAAGGCCGGCCTGGCTGCGCGCGCCCGGCGCTGTCGGCCTGTCTAATCAATGGCCCCCACGGTTGGGCGGGGCGCGGCCGCCCAGGGGCGCTGCTGCCTCTCTGAAAGCTTTGTTCCCAGTTTAGCGTCAGAGAACTCGCGCTCGGCCCGGGAGGTGCCTTGCATCCGTCTGGTACTTTCCAGGATGGCGCTGGCACTCGGACGCGCTATCCCGGGCTGAGGAGAGTCTTGGGCGCGCTGAATTAGCCGCGCCCCGCCAGGAGCCTCCAGTGGATGGAAAGAGCCCCTAAATCCTCTGCTCGCCTGAGCGCTCCGGGCCCGGCACCACCGACCGCAGCAGTTTCGGACCGACTGTGTGGAAAGCCCGCGCTCCGTTTGCGGTTTCCATATGGTATGGGAGCTGCCGCAGACGAGCCCGTCACACTGTCCGCCACGACCCCAGTAGAGCTTCTCAGGGCTCCTGGGACCGCCGCTGGAGGCCGAAGGCCAATCACACTGCAGCTAGGTCTTGCGATTGGACAGCAGTGAGTGCCGATTGGCTTCCACTAGGGGTTTCGGCCTCCCTCCCTTTCTCTTTTGCCCCAACTCTAGCACCAAAGCTTCAGGCCAATGAGAAGGCACTTTATAGATGCCCTCCCTTTGCTTTCTTCTTTTCCCCACCTTGGAGAGGGAGGAGACGTTCTGACTGGTCAGACCGTCCTCGGAAGCCCCCTTCGGTTCACCAATCACCGTGGGAAGTACACTCCCAGCGGAGTTTTCGGCCAATAACAAAGCGGCCACGGAGCCCAGCCGTTCGGTTTCACCAGCGAGCCCGGGTTTCACTGTCCTTAACTCTTCAAGCGTTTTTCTTGAGGGCCGGGGGACTCTGATTGGCCACTGTTGCCATTATCGAATTTCTCCTCAGAACAAGGCGAACGCACCTTCTTCTCGTTCGGGTATCTTCGGTATTTTTCGCTCTTTGGGCGTGGATTTCCAGCGGCACATTCTAATTGGTTCCTTAGGTCGATCGGCTTTTTCCGGGAGAAGCAGCTAACAAACGACGCCGGTGATTGGCTTTGCTCGGGCTTCGGATCCCAACCGAAGTGGGCGGGCGCGGGGTTCGGCCGGCGATTCCCAGACGCCTGTTACGCGGGCGGCGGGGCGCTGGGCGGTGTAAGACTGGGTGGGGGAGGAAGGAGGCGGAGGACGAGTAGGAGGGGGGAGGGGTAGTGGGGAAGAGCGAGGCGGCTGCGCAGACGGCGCTCCTCACACAGAGCAGCCCCTGACCCGGGCGATTGCGGGCTTGTGCTGCTGCTGCCGCCGCCGCTGCCGCCGCCGCTGCCGCCGCCCGGGCCGAGTGACAAAGGAAGGAAGGAAGGAAGCAAGGAGGAGCCGGCCCTACAGCCGCTGACAGGGCTCCGGGCTGGGGGCAAAGCGCGGACACTTCCTGAGCAGGCACAGAGCAGAGACGAGGGGCGGAGGGCGGCCGCGCTGGTGCCGTGGACCGGGGAGGGGGCCCCGAGGGACGGAAGCGGTTGCTGGGTTCCCATGTCCCCGGCGTATGGGGAGCAGTCGAGGAGCCGCTGCCTGGGGTCTGAAGGGAGCTGCCTCCGCCACCGCCGCCGCCATGGCCGCTGGATCCAGCCGCCGCCTGCAGCTGCTCCTGGCGCAATGAGGAGAGGAGCCGCCGACACCGCCTGCCTCTGACTGACTCGCCACTCCGCCGCCCTCCAGTTCGCCGGGCCCCCGCCGTCAGCCCGCCGGATCCCGCCGCTGCCGGAGCCGCAGCGTTTCCCGTCGCATCTCCGAGCCACCCCCTCCCTTTCCCTCCCTCCTTCCCATCCCCCTTCTTTTCAAGCGTGAGACTCGTGATCCTTCCGCCGCTTCCCTTCTTCATTGACTCGGAAAAAAAATCCCCGAGGAAAATATAACATTTAAAGTACTTATTTTCAATCAAGTATTTGCCCTCGTTTCACGTGATATATATATATTTTTTTTAGGATTTCCCCTTTTCCTTTTTTTCCCCTCCAAGGAAAGGGAGGGGAATGAATTGTATTTTTCCCCCCAGCCCCAAATAATCTATGTTAAATACCCATACTGATCTGTCTTGAAGGAGAAATACATCACTCGTTTTTTTATAGCTATACAAAAGGAGTGAAAAGCCAAGAGGACGAAGTCTTTTTCTTTTTCTTGTGGGAGAACTTAATGCTGCATTTGTCATTAACCTAACATCCCAACTTAAAACAAAAGGAAGAAAAGGAGGAAGGAAGGAAGAGAAGGTGATTCAGGAAGAGAGTGATCATGTCAGGGCGGCCCAGAACCACCTCCTTTGCGGAGAGCTGCAAGCCAGTGCAGCAGCCTTCAGCTTTTGGCAGCATGAAAGTTAGCAGTGAGTATTGATTTTATTTTACACCCTTCTCCACTTCATCCTTAAAATAAGAAACCTTGAAATACCACGGTCTTAAAATCTTAGATCTGATAAAACACTCAGAGGTAATGGAAAAAGGCAAAATCCTGCCTTCAGTCAAGGATGAGGCAGGCAGCTCCCTCTTTTTCTCCTCCCCCGGTCTCATTAACCTTGAATTGGGAGAATATGATTTTTGTTTGAATGATTTGATTTGAAACTTCTTTTCTTATACTTTCCTTGCTGTTGGTAGTCAGCTTTATTAAGTGCTTGAAGATTTCCACGTCAAAATATAGTGATGGAAGTGTTTACTTGCTCATCCTCTTGGATAAAGAGGGCAAGTCTTGATTCATAAACCATTGAGCATGTTGCTCAGTGTATGTCTTTTGGAATGAGGGGTGTTTTAGTTAGCTCAGGTCTCAGGGGTTATCATAGTTTTGTATACTTACTAGAGAGACTGAGTGTTACAGTCTGCTAACATTTCTTCCTTGCTTGTGTGACTATACAAAGTATTTGTTCCTAATCCTGAGATGAACTTGCTCAGTAACCAGCGTTCACGTTGGGAGACGAGTATTGATTCCTTCCTTTACAAGGGGCTGGTGGGAGCCGCTGATACCCAGTAGCCGTAGTATCTCAACATGCATTGTTTTAAATTGGATAAGTGGTTTAATATGTTATCTCTAAATTCTCCCGTTTTGACATTAGCTATCTACCACTATATAATTTATGTTTAATCAAAAGGTAATTTGGGAGTAGGTCCAATTTCTGATTGAGGTTTGTATTGTCATTTTGCCAGATACTAAGTTGAATGTTAATTGTTACCCACTTGTCATTTAATTTCAATTTTGGGTGCCATTACATACTGTACTTGTTAAATGATCCAGAGGTCAGGGGTCCCCTTCTTAGGATTATTAAAAATACTCTTGCATTGGTTTCCTGTCACATTTAGATAAAACTATGGATTAGTTGTGAGAATATAGATTTAGACCTTTCCATCATAGGTTTTGCAGAAGGTTGTGGTCCTGCATAAAATAGGGATATTTGAGCTGTGTTCAGTGTTGCTAGAAGGAACTCTTGTTCCAGATTTGTGATGAAAGTCTGTGTGTTCTTGAGGTGTTTGGTATACCAAGTATCTCGTGTTCTGATGTATCTCTATTTGTGGACCTGTTTATGTGCTATTTAATGACAGCTTATTTAAACATACTTTCAGAATTTGGCAAAAATTAGAGTTATTACACGAGAAAGGGGCATTACGAGGTCAAAGAGCAAACTAATTTGTTGCCTAGAAGAAGGAGAGAACTGAAGAACTGAGTTTTTTGTTTTGTTTTGTTTTTTTAAAGTATATGCTGTTATGTGAAATTGATTATATCCTTAAGCAACATAAAATGATTTTAGTTGAATTTAGGATTTCAATTCATGCTGGCTTTTGGAACTTGCCTGAATAGGGTAGTCTAAGGTAATAACTGAAGGAGAGATTATTTTTTAAAGTAAATTTTTTTTTTTTTTTTTTTTTTGGTGACTAGCTAGTACAGAATGCAGGGTATGTGAAGAGGGAAGCTGATGCTGCATCTTTCAGGGAAGGGTCAAGCTTTCTAAGTACTTCATGGGGTCATTTGACAGGAATATTTTAAAATTCTGGGGTAATTTTCAGCTATGATGAAGCAAATCTTATAATAGCTACTTTAGAGCCTCTTGTGGTACTGAAGTGTTTGTTTTTTCATCTTGGTAATATAGTTTAAAAACCACTCAAAATCAATTTAGGTAATTAATTTATTAGCTCTATTTCAGAAAGCAAAATAGAATAGTTTATAATGTTAAATTTTTGGACTTCTCATTTTCCCTCCAGGATTTTCTTTGAAAATGACTCCTTAATTCTTGATAGTGTGGATATTGACTGATGGGGTAACTCTTGTAAAGTGTGTGGGTTAAAATGTTTAATTTATATTACCATAGAGATCAAGGTAACATTTAAGGAACTGGAGTTCAATGTTAATTGTTTTTGACAACCTTGATTTTAAGAACATTTTAGAAGAAAGAGGAATCATTAATTATTTGTTAGAGTGCTAGTGTTCTAAGAGAGATACATAAATTGTAGCCTCTGTCCTCAAAAGCTTATTATTTAGTAGAGACAGGTTATGGGACAGAATATAAAGACAATACCAAGGTGACTGTAAGATTATAAATACAAATAGAATGCTTTGTTCAGAGGGACAAAGAATAAAGGAATGAGGCAGATGGGAAGACTACCTGAAGAGGTATGTTTTAAGAAAGGTGTTAAAGGAGGCAATAACTTCAATTGATAGAGAAGCATGAGATTCTAGATGGAAAGAATGGACAGAGGCACAGAGATGGTGATTTTTGTGTGAATGGTTTTTGTATTTACCAAGCAAGTTGGTAAATCTGAATTAAAGGAGCCTAAAGAGGAAAAGAGAGGTGGAATTTGAAAAATGTTAACATCAGCTGATGGGGGTAGAGAGGGGCGGCCTGTATGAATTTGGTTGAGATTCAAGAAAGATTGGAATTTACTGTAGATGGCTGAATCAAGATATCTGAAGATGATTTGGGCAGCTGAGTTGATGGATTAGAGAGCCATTAGAGCCCTTTTAGGGAGACAGGAAGGTGTGTTGTGAATCATGAGGGAATATAAAGTAAAATGTGAAAATGGGATGAACAAAACACATTTGAGAGAACAGTAGGAATTAAGAACTGGCAGGACTTTGTATTGGATTGAAAGGGACTATTTGGAAGGAGTCAGGAGTTAAAAATAAATTCTGATGTTATTAGTCTGGAAGACTTGACTGCGAGTTAAATTGTTGATTGTAATGGGAAAGTTGAGAAAGTTCTGAGATGAAAGGGTAGATGAATTCACTTTTTAAAATTTAATATACAGTAGGTTCCCTTGAAATTTAGCAGACAACAATTAGATACTGGCAACGATATTGATATTTAACTTACAGCCTATTAATTGCACCATTTCTAATTTTCTACACCTAAAAATGTCAGGTTTATTTTTGAAAATAGTAAACTAAGGATTTTTATTTAAATGCTTTCCATTAAAGTTCTAAGGAAAGAAAAAAAATTTTATGAAGATTCAAGAGCTTCACACTTAAAACCCAGTTATAATAGTTCCATGGTTACTTATTTGAAAACAATGAAAATATTTTTGAACTAAACTGTGATGTGAAAATTTAAAATATTTTAGATAGCCTTTAATCTTTAGTACAACTTAAAACTTTTTTTTATAAATATGATTATTCTTAGGTAAACCTCACATTTAAAATAGTGGTATAGCCTGGCCGGTGTGGCTCAGTGGTTGAGTATCGACCTATGCACCAAGAGGTCACTGGTTCGAATCCCTATCAGGGCACAGGTTCAGTTTGTGGGCCAAATCCCCAGTGGAGGCATGCATGAGGCAGCCAATCTATGTTGTCTCATCAATGTTACTATCTCTCCCTCTCCCTCTTCCTATAAAATCAGTAAAGAAAAAAAAATAGCGATAATAATAATAGCAGTCTTCACTTGGTTTGTGAAGGACCCAGCAGAAATTAAAAGTTGGTTTTATAACAAGTAGTTTTTTACTTTTTTGTTAAGCATTAACTGCAAGTTTAAATCATATTGAAAATACGTCTTTTTATTGACTATAGTGAAACCAACATTTCTTTTTTTTTTTTTTATCCAGATTCAAATGTTATTAAATGTTCATAGCTATACAGTTCCTTCTGTAGAACCACTTGATAACTGTACTCAAAATAGAATAAGGGACTGTCTATGGTGATTTTGGTTAAAATATTAGTAATTAAACTCTTTGGTGTACTATTGGTGAAAATTTAGCTAATTGCCTAGGCTTAAATATAAGATTTAGAAAGAGGAAAATAAGTATTACTTATTTCCTCATATAAAATTTTTTTAGATCAAAACTGTTTTTAGTAACAGAAGAATGAATAATAATATTTGTGTGTTGTGTACTTAGTTGTATGGTGATTAAAACCAAAGGGTAGATAGCAATTTAGAGTTCTTCTATTTCCAAGGGAGTATAATCTCTCAGTGACATCCAAAAATTAGGTTATTAGAATTTAGCCAATTTCTAGATTATCCATGTTGATATGGAAGAGAGCTCGTGTTTGAGACTAAAAACCAGAACCTTATTTTCATTTCTTTCCCAATCAGACCTTTCCAGAGTTCTTAAAACACTCAGACCTTCAAATGAGAATTGCATATTCTCATGTTGCATGCAACTGTAGAAGGCTAATTGTGAAATGAGGCACAGGTACTGGGAAAAAAACTTCAAGGGAACCCGGAGATTTGCAAATCAGTTTATGCCTGATTGGGAATTGCCTTTAGAGAATGAGGTGACATCTCATTTCACTGGCATGGTTCAACTGAAAATTAGTACTTGCATCCTGTGCTGTCTGCCTCTTGTTTTGGATTTGAGTTGCAGGTGTGAAATACTGTTTTGGAGAAGTTTGCAGAGTTTTTGGAAGTGTCAGCAGATTCGGAGACTGGTGGAGTTCTATTTTTGTGTGTGCTTAATGTATAGAGAAGGCTGTGAAACATGCCTGTGCTGTCACTGGTATCACAGTTGTACACTTTTTAATAAGAATTTACTACAGTGCTAGTGTATTTATTTTTTAATGAGACTCATGGGATTGTGAGACAGGGGTGGGGATGGGCAGGCTGTGAGATTGTAGTATCTCTTATGCTCCACCCTACCATGGAGAATGGAGGGGCAGAGCATGTGGGTGTGACAGAAGTAGATGCTAGTACTAACAGGACCAACCTGATTTCCCGGATATTGTACTACTAAGAACATAATTACCATGAGTAAATGAATTTGTTGGCAGGTTTAGCATCATCTTCTAGCATTTTTTTCTTTTTGAGGGGGTGTATGAAAAGATAACTTTTTATGATTTCAAGTGTGTATTTTCATGATTCATTGGTTTTGAAAAGTAGTGGTTGCATTCTTTGTTCCTATCTTGGGTCGTACA